TGCTCCATTCTCACAACCCGCGACATAAGCGCAGGAGAAGTACAAACGCCCCATTTAGTCATCAGGGAGGGTCGTGTGGATATTCCTTCGAGGGAAGGACGCACCGATCGGTAGATTTTCCGCAACGTGATGCTTGACCTTGATCCAGGGGTGCACCCAGCCGCATCTACAGCCATTACATTTGACAAGTCCGTGCTTCTCTTCTTCGAGTTCAAGCCACATGATTGCAAACTCAGCCAAATTAATTCATGTGAGGGTGCTGATTGTCAGAGATCCGCTTTAGTCCACCAGTCCACCGCTTCAGTCTACTGCGCAGCAGCAGAGGAGCGTCTGGGGCTATCGTGTCAAACCCCCTTCTAAAAAACTTTGGCACTGCTGGTGAGGTCGTTAGGTGGGACATTCATTGATATCCTGACGTATCGACATACGCTGCGGAAGACGGGACTTGTCGGAAGGGAAGGTTTGGCGTGGGCAACTAACAAGGTTGTATCGTAAAGCTCGACTCAGTCGTTTTCCACCAAATTTTGTCGCTTACCCGTTTCAACAACTGGAGGAGAACGAGTCGGCGGCGCGTCAAACCTAGCCCTTCTGAGCGTCCCGACATCCGCAACGTATTCAGAGGTCTGAAAACAGGTATCCGTCTACTACAAAGACCCTTTGCCATTCGTACCGCAGTGCGAGTTGCTACTGAAAACAATGAGGCATGCATAACATGACTACACTTACTTATAATGGCAGCATAATATGACTCATACACTAGTACGAACAACGAGAGTATGGTATTGCTCACTCCAGTTGTGATGGATTGCTTACGTCTAGTTCTGCCATGCAAATGTTCGGTTGTTTTCCTGAAATTCCACTGGGATCACTAAGAAGATGCGCTTGCGAGAGGGCAGCTCTCGAACCCTGAACCACTACTGAGCCTCCGAGGAAAGCCATTCAGAAAAAAGGTCAAGCCCTTTCGAAACGTTCTAGCTAAACGTCGTTGCCGCACAGGGAAGCCTTACACGATCTATGTTGCGAAATACTTGGACAGTGAAACTTCAATCCAGGTGAACGCAGCACAGGCGCTATACGAATCCACTTAGTGTCGGCTGGACCACCTAACGCCTGATTATTCATGATTAGCCCTGCCTTAAAGACATGCAGTACGCTCACCCCGTAGATCCTGATCTTTACTATGTGTGAGGTGAATGGGTGGGCAGCTTCAGGGGCACGATACCTTGTCCGCTCAGAACTGCACAAGAACGAGGCTGAAGGGTATAGTTACAGTCCTCATCATTGCGGACCGGTGGGGCGTGTCAGCCAGAAGGAGTGCGCACACTGTTGAAGCCGTTCTCAGCCTTTTTTGTGCGTATGCGACAAAAAGTGGTAGAAAACGAGTAATACGAAGGATATAATACAATGCACTTGCCCGCTTCAAAAACTGGTGCAGAACGACTTTGCCAAACCGCACCAAACGCAGCCGCACTGCCACGCCCCACCGGTCCGCAATGATGAGGACTGTATACTCCGGTGCCGACACCATACTCAGTCTCGCGCTGTAGCGCGGCCAGCCACACGCCTAGTCGCAGAGTGCGCTACTTGTCTGCGCCCTGTTACTTTTGCTCCTTCTCTAATGCTCAGTATGTGTTCCGCTGAGAGACCTTGGCATCTGCGCAAGTGCTGCACCTTGAAAATAGCGTCAGCAGAATATGGAGAAGTGTAACACTGATATCACTACTATCCAATCCAGCTTTTTTTGAGCTAAGAAAATGGCACTCTATTGCAGCTGCGAGCCCTCACGCATGGAAACAACCATAAACGGAAGTTCGGTCAATGGGGCGTAGAGCCAGCCGCCGCTGTTGGAATCAGCGTTTGCCTTGAACGCTGGTCTCAGGAACGGTGTCAGGAACGTCGCTGACTTGGATGACCTTGGCAAGAAGAATGAAATCCGGCCATAAAACTCGTGCCAAACAGCCATTGCTAAGCCTTTTCGCGCCCTCTTGAAGCGATTCTAGCGCAGAGTCTAGAGCCGAGGCCATAAGTAAATGAGCCGGCTTTAAATAGCGTGTTGAAGCTGCTCCACCAAATCCGCTAGGACGCTCACTCATCATTATGGTCCCTTTAACTGGTTAATAATCTGTCATAGGATCTATTTGACAGGAATTAAAAACGCAAAAAAAATCCAGTAAGTAAACCCTTCATATCCCCTCTGCTACGGTACATTTACGTAATCTCGTTGTCATAACCCCTGATTCCCCTATCGACGGTTTTGTTAGGACATCAACGTTCAGTGAACGAAAGAAAACACGATGATTTCCGACGAGAGGGCAACGTCGAGGATAATTTCACCCTAACCTCAGCGACGATTATCCGTCGCTTATAAAAGCGGGGGTAATCGAGGCATAACAGCGGATGCCACGATCACCGCAGCAATACTGTCATAACAGAGACACATTCGGTCATCCGAATGTGTTTTGATTGTTCTCTCTACCGTATCCCTTTGGTTTTCGTGAAATGAAATTTTTTTTGTATTCGCTCACAGAAAGGCTGTGTCCGCCAAAATGTTGCGTAAGGTACTCATGCACTCTGTCTTAGCTACAAGTCATTGTTACTGTTCCCCGATAGCCACTTAGTCCGCTGCACCTCACGGAAGAATTCGAGAGATTTCAGTTTTCTCGCTGGCGGCTCTGTAGGGCTGTTCATGGACGGATTATTTTCTGAAAGAGCAGCCGGCAGCTACTGACCCTGTTCTGCACGAACTAGACCGTTTACTGCTGAAACCAGTTTTCTTTTGAACCTTAAAGTCAAGCACTCAATTCAAAAATCCCTCAAACTAATCCCTAGTCGCGAATAATCAGTTTCTAATTTCCAGGTATTCCGTAATTTATGAGGCTTCTCGTGACGTTTGTCATTCTATCAGCCTCCATCTATGTTTGCGCCTATCGCGCGAATCATGGGTGCGTCAGTTCTTATCAATTGTGTTTTTTGGCACATTCAAAACTATTGAACTACATCAGCTTTTGCGAAACTTGGGCCGATCTCGATCGACTTTTTTTCCACGGGTCGTGGATTCTGCGTCTGATAAGTTGGGTTCTAGGGGTACTTTCGCACCTCCTGAACACGAAATATCACATCCACTTTGGCCTGAAACTTGCCTGGCGCCCGCGCCATAGGCGCCAGTGATTTGGGGCATTTTGGCGCCGGCGCCCGTAGCGCGGACGCGGAGCGGTTTCAAGCCGAGGGAATGTGATATTCGTGATTAGGAGGTCAAACTACCCCTAGGTACAAGTTTTTTCAGCGGATTTCGTGATCTAGGGGTACTTTGGCGCCGGCGGCTGTGGCGCAGGCGCCAGGCGGTTTTGACGAGGGAGCGGATATTTGATATTGCGTGTTCAGGGAGGTCGAAGTTACCCCAAACATCACCCAACTTTCAGCCAAATCCACCCCACGCTAAGAACAAAAGGAAGTCGCATTGCAAAATCCGGGCCCGTTTCCTGGAAATTCTGGGGTTAGTAATAGTTTGAATCAGTGCGGTCTTTTTGGTTTGTAAAGCATGATCTTTTTCGCGCCCATCTCGTTGGAATTATTGCAGCCCAGCTAGGGCTCTTGGAACTATTGGACAGAAGCAGCAGAATGAGTTATTGCTTTCAAACGACAAAAATTTTCAAATTAACGAGCCGCACCTCAGGGCAGCCCGTACGAAGTAGTGAAAGGTGCCCTGGCTCCAACCAGTGTTCAGCCCACCCGCGCTCGGCCATGACCGTCTACAAACGATACGGCACTGCAAAAGGGGCGCGGACGCTTGCTCTATGGGCGCTGCACTGCGCTATCGCACTCTACCAGGACAGACTTTCGCCGGCCGATTGTAGTGCCGGTTTAAGAATTGCACCCATATTAAGTACATACGCCTCTTTAGCTAGCCACAAATCCACGCTACTTCATAGACGCTTAGGTACATTGAATGGCATGATTTCTGACCTTGCTCCCAATGATGTGCTCCTCCTTGTATGAATAAAGAGTAGTGGCTACGCGATGGTGAGAAGGGCCCCTGCTAACAGCTACGCGTTGCCTCAAACGATAAGGCCTGGGATTGGCAGTCTGAGGAGGAAGGCTGATTAATCATGACAACGATGTGTTCATAAGAAGAAAACAAATAATTGGAATTTTCTTTGAGAACATGTCTTCTACGTGCGGAAGACGGAAAAAAGAAATCCATTAACATTTTTAACCAAGGAATAGGTAGAATAGATGGAAACCATACATAAGCTTCTGCGTCATTCACAGTTCTTTTCCAGACAAGCCTGAGTGCTGCATTGACAAAATAAAGTGATCAGTGCTTTGTCTTGCGTTGCAAGGCCAGATGAAGCCGAAAAGGGCCTCAGCGGACCTTGGAGCTGTGAAGCAGGTTCCCGACAATGGTGACGCTGCTGCTTCCGTTGCGTCGCCACTCCGTTTCACTGAAAGAGAAGGACTCGTGTTTAGAAGCATGGTCAGAGCATGTAGTCTAACCCAGTATGGTCAGCCCATCGAGCCAGAAGACCATATGAGCATCCGCATGGTTTGGTGATTGTTCAACTAGACGGCTCCCTCCAGTTGCTTGCTTGTTATTCACAGCTTCAAGTCGAGGTCTCGGTTCTTCTTCTTGAAGCGTTCATCCCTTCTGCCGACCGAAAACATAGGAGACAAAGCGTTTGCGATGCGGCGGGCTGGCCATTCCTCGGAACGCGTTTGCTTTGTTGAGTCATGACCCGATGTAAACGTCACAGACACCAGCGCGATTGTGCCTTACTGACAATTCAAACCTAAATTCTTGACGCAGGAAAAGGTGCACATTAGAAGCTAAACGACTATGCACGCAGCTCGTATCACGAAAACGCAGCCAGATAACGCTGTTTCAGAGAAAGGTGCTTACGTCAACAAAAAACTTTCATAGTGGTTATTAAAGCACAGCTTAACGCGCCAAGTGAAATTTTCACCGTTCGTCATATTTTTTAAGTGCACCCGCAATTATTCGTTAGAAATCTGCTTAAGACGATCTATTCCAGAATTGCCGCAGGCTTAAGGAAGCCGCCCTTCAGACGTAGCTAGTGTCATAATAGCCCGTGTGAAAGGAATGATCATGCCTTACACAACCAGGTAACGCCGATTGTACCATTACAGGAGATCAATGACGCTGTGGGTAGTTACCAAGCCCTTCAAATGTGGAACTTGAGTGCTAAAGTGTTTTCGAAATTGCCTGATGTCAGAGAGGAGATGGAGGCGGGCAGCAGGTTGAACATAAGCTTATGATTCGCGAGTTCGTTGAGATCGCCAGGTGGGAATATCGGAAGCATCTGTTAACTCCAATGCTACGAGCACCCGTGATGCTGCTGTGGGTGGTGGCTGATGATGCGTTGGCGGGGGCTTGTAAGTACGAGGTGCCCCTCCGAGAGATGAGGCGGTGTCGAGTACCGAACCCTACCGACCAAAACCTAAATAGGGGATCTTGGTATGACCCCTCCCCCTTCCACACCTGCGCCTACATTGTTCCTACGTTTTTCCAGTCCAGTATTTCACCCAGAATAATTTTCTCGTCGAATCAGAGGGGGAAGGCGGTATACAGTTGCCACAATTGAAGCTCACAAAACTCGAACAACCGGCGGGGAAAGCAACCCGACAAATGTCTCCTCAAAGGCACATAACGACCACACCTCTCCTCCCAACCGTACCAACTCGCGACCCACACCAAACCCACAATGAGAAAAAAGTACTACGAACCCTCCCCCCTAAGTGTTTCACACAACGATGCTCTACCCTGGCTAACGCGCTACTGGCGCGCCCACTTCTTGGGGAATTACCAGAAAATATTTCAGCCGGCCTGTTCTTTGCAAGGTGGCTTAGGCTTTGGAAATTCGCTGGTCCGGTATTGGTTTGCGAACCAATGAACGCGCGGTATGGCATCCTTTGGCCCGAAAACTGCCTACTGCCGATGCACCTACGAATCTTCAAAATTCGCCAAAAATTTATGTAGTGTCAGCGCGCAGTTCGGCCTAATACCTCTCTCACACTCACACTCTCTTCATCGCGAATGGAAATTGATATAGCGTAAGATCTTGGAGGCAGTGCGGCTGCCCAGGCCTATTCAACTGGTCCGCATCTTCCCCCTCCCCTCCCAGATGACATGCTCCTTCCCTCAATGTTGGAGACTGGCACTTTCAACAGAAAGGCTCACCACTCCGCCAGTCCATCAGAAATGTGCCACTAGCCATATGTCCGATCTGATCTTATGCCGGCGTCAGCAGAGGTCCGTGGCTTCAGCGCGTACAGCGATTTCGTGCCGAAAGGATGTAAGCAGTAGCTCTGGATTCCTTGGAAAGAATAGTAGGTGTCTTCTCTCCACACATTCATATTTGTCCCCCCAGAGTTGCTAGCTTATTGTACTGTATTTCTCGCAGCGTTCGAATGCTTCAATGGCACAGAACCTTTCGCACATGGCAATTAGACGGCCCGGAAATAAAATAAAAAGAAAAAAAGAGGTGCAAAAGAGAGAAGCGGGTAAAGAGAAAAAGAATTTTAGACAAGCAGTTGCCCCTGATTCATTTTACCAGATAGATATTTCCCCTTTGTACAGGTCACAACCACCCAGATCATCATATATCTGAGAGGAGTGCACATGAAAGCGCCGAGCACGCACACGAATCCGCGGAGGAAGAAGGAGACGCTGATTCAGTGAACGAGATAGCTCCAGATAATGAGCTACAGGAGATCATGGACGAGCCCGAATGCAGCGAAGATAAGAACAAGGGCGAAGAGGTACGCTTAGTGAGGTCAACTTCTGAAATGTAATCGTTCCTTTCCAGGAGGGCACGGTAGAGGAGAACAAACACCACGCAAAGCTCTCGTTGAAGGATCAGCAACATGATCACAAAGTGGGCAAACGAAGTGCTTACGGTGAGTTGAGAACCAGAATTTTCTTGCTATCAGATTTTCTACAGCGGACAGCAGCCAGATGAGGCCTGTGTAATTAGTTTTTAGATTCTTTTCGAAGAAAAACCACAGATCCAGTATTCATAGTCTTGCTAATGTTGAGGTTCAGGAGGGAATCACCATGAGGCAATAACAGTAAGGTACAGTCTCGTTCGCTGCGGTTGTTGGGGGTACCAGGAAGCCTGGGTTTGGCACCCCGCCAGTTCGTTTCTCACCAATTGTTGCCGCTTGTAGGCTACTACATGCATTGCAGCAGTGTCCACCAACGCCTCGAGGGAATGGGTATCGATTTAGCGTCTAGCAGCGTCTGCCAGCGTGCACCAGCGTCTACCAGCGTCCGGGAGAGGAGAATATGGCGCGATAGGAGGGTAGCAGACAGCTGGTAGAGTATGGGAGGATAGGAGGATGGCAGACTGCTGGTAGACGCTGAGGCACGCTGACAGACGTGCTATACCCTAGTTCAATACCCATACTTCCTTTCCCTCGAGACGCTGGTGGACGCTGGTGGACGCTGGCAGACGCTAGATCGATATCTACACTTCCCAGGTCGTTGACACTGTGGCACACGCACTTCCAGTCTGGGTTGACCACTGTGGCACACGCGAAACGCTAGTGAATGGTTGATAGACGCTAGTAGACGCTGCCGCAAAGTATGAACGCAGCCGTACCGTTGAACTAGGAGACACAGTCTGGCTCCCGTAAACCCAGCCTATGACATACCTCAGCATCCGCAGCGAACAGGATTGTATGCATATATGCTAGTTGACGTACCAGTGAGAAAAGAAGCACACTTACGAACAAGTAACCCCTGAAACAAGGTCCCGGTAGTTTGGAGCGTTGAAATGGGCGAATGGAGAAGAGAGCGTATGCTGGGATGAGCCTGATACGTCTCCGGCTGTCTTTCATCTGGACATAGAAGCCGCTTCCAGGCCCTCCGGGAAATCTCTTTGGCTGGGCTGTAATCAGCGAGCCTCCCGTAACTTCTACGAGGATATAATCTTTCATGGACCTAGTCAGCCCCGAAGCAAACCTCTAGTTCGATGTAGGTAATCGTGGACGCCCTTGAGATTTGATCCTGAACTCTTATTCTAATTCCAGGTCATCATCATGGCCGCTTTCGCTCCGGCGACCCGCGCATTCCGGTGTGATTCTGATTTTATGTTTCCAGGTGGTGAAGCACACGGTCATCATAGCCCGGGCGGGCACCATCCTGCACGTGAAAAGCGTTCAGAAAGCGGAGGAGATTCCGCTGAAGGGAATCACGAAGACCCAACAGATGTCGAAGATTACAGCTCCGATCATGAGCACCACGACACCGAGCACGCCAAAAGGAAACGCCGAGACACTGATGAAGAACCTGATCATCTAGAACATCACGAACATCCTGATGGCAGTCATGAAGGTATGCTTCATTATAATTTGGACCTTCTAAGCCACCCCCAGCCCAGCCCCCCCCCCTTTAGGGCACGCCTTCAAATTTGCAACATTTTATCGTCGGGTTTGCTGAGAATTTGTTGTGCTGAGAGATGTAGAATTGCGATCTCTCTGTATGCAGTGTGTGGTTCCGGGACCGAACTACGAATTTTGGCAGCAAACGCTCTCCCAGTCGGTGCACGCGTCTCCCACCGCGTGTCTCTTTCTTGTTTTACTCGCCCACCCGCTGTCTCCTTCGCTTATTTTTCCTATCCCTTGGCCCCTCTCTTGGCGTTTTGAGGTTTTTCGTCCATGGCACCTCTCACTTAGGTGCACGCTGCACACAGACAGCTTCTGGCTCGTACATAAAGAGATGTCGCAAGTAAAGTTGATATCGTTTCACTCGGCCGGGGCGTCAAGAAGCACGGCATGAGACCATCCCTGCGTTTTCTATCACTGGTTGTTTTTTCAATGTTCACTAGTCGAGCACTATTGGTAGAAAACGCAGCCGAGACGACCTCATTCTGCTCCTTTTGACACCGACCGCTCCGACTTATCGCGACGATATCATCTAGCCAGGAAGTGCCAACAGGTTAGCCCAGCTGTTTCCAATGAGGTACACACCGTTGTACTCGTCTTGGGACTCGAGAGAGCTGAGCTTTGTTCACGAAATTCGCGGAACGGTTCACTGAGTGGAGTTGTGGAAGTTTTTCCCACCGTTTCTTTCTTCTACGCGCTGGCGCCGAAGCATTGGCGCCTGTAGGCTTAGGCATCGCGCAAAATAGGTATCCTATTCGTGTTCAGGCGGATACAATGACCCTGAACACGAATACCGAGCCTGGCAACGGCTCTCTAGCGCGATCTGAGGTACTGACTCGATCTCGAAATGAAAATGGATTTAGGTTAGTCATGGCTGCGAACATATAGGATTAGCCCACCACCGATAAATGGCCTTCGAGTCGAAACAACACTTCAGCCATTTCTTTTTGCAAAGAACAATACCTGGCCTATGATTTGCACCACTTGTACCATCTTCCCGAATACAGTAGGAATTCAGTCCCTGAAACTGTAATCGGTGAGCCCCAGTCTGCTGCTAATTACCCATAGAAAACCCTACATTTTCTAAGTGAGCTCGAAGTCTCAGATTTGGCTAGAAACTTCCTCCCTGGAGTACATACTTTTCTCGCAATTTCCGCGTATGCGTATCACACCACCCTCTGCATATGTATACATACATATATATGTAAGGACGCCGCCACGTTTCCTCGCGATGGCATGTAAAACAGCCACACGAGGAGAAAACCCTCCATAACGTCATTCGAAGAAGCGTTCCGCAAATTTTGAAGGTGGATGCGAGTTCATCGCCTCAAGATGCATCGAACGCCTCATCTGAAATGGCCGGGCTAAGCTGATGACCTTTCCTGGTTAATATATTCTTATTTCAGAACATCACTACGACAAGAGGTCGGGACATTCCGGTCATCATGGTGTGTAGTTCTTTTGAGCTTCTAAGCACAAGTTTATTCTACGCTATTGCTATATTCTCCAGCTCTTCCCATCTTATGAGCTCGGCATAGTTAATTGCAGTTTGTGCTACCTTTTTGTCTGTTCTAAGGTTGACAGAAGAGATCTTCGAGTGGCCTAACGTTGGAACTGAATTGTAGTCCTCGCAGGCCTAGACATGGTCAGTGGATCAAATTTACTCACTTACACTTCACTCGATCGAGCATTTCACCTACACGTGTAGTTCCAACGTCTTTCTAGAGGCCGGAAGAGATACCTCAAACGTGTGCAGTTGAACTCATTCAGGGTTCCACCTCCTTGCATGTATAGGTGGTAGAGTGTCTATTACGGCTTCCTGAACAATGCTCAGAGACATTCTCCACGCTTAGTTACAAGCGATCATGGATAGTGACACATTTTTCAAACCTTCCAGTTTGGAACTGCTTGATGTGCAATTCATTTCTGCAGTCGGGGTAAGGCGTGCTCACGCTCCGAGTTGTGAATGCGAACCGTTCAAGGTTTTTGGGTGCAAGTATATAGGGGGGAAGTCCCTTTTCTTCGTTGACTTTCAAGGCGCTATAAGTTACATTAATTAAATTCTGATGGACATTTCCACCACCATATTCAACAGCATATTGTATACTATCATGATGCTCCGCCACAGCCTTCTGGACGAGCGCCATCGAGAGATTCTGCCACGCGACCGTGATTCGGTACCTGAGTTCAGCGAGGTCGTTGATTTCTCCGCCACTGTAGACCACCCTGTTGAGCTCCGCCCGAACCGGGTAATTGAGGGGGTTAGGTCAGGTGACACACTTAGATATCAACGCCCTTCCATTCCAAGTAGGCGAGAGTTTTTCCAACGCCCTTCGATTCCATGTGATGACACCCAATCCTGTAGCAGTACGAAGTTTCCAAGACGACAACATGAAGGCAGGATATCTCTTCACGAGTTGGTCGATGTAATCGTCAGCGCTCA